CATGGCAATCTGTATAAAACAATTATTAAATAAATGTATTAATGTCGATCGGATTTGTGAATTGGGTGACGGATATTAGACCTAATCGAAATATTGGATGAAGAGACGTAGCTAAAATAAAATATACACCAGACCGACAAATCAAAAATAAGTTAATATTCTGTAACAATGAATTTAAATTAGTAAACAAATCTGTTAAGATTGAACGTATTTCCTGTTTAATAGACTGACCCCCGAACAGTAGCTAACCTATTAACATAAAATATGATTATGTCCATCGTTTAACGACTTTCAATTCGGAAGTCAATTTTCAACAAAGTAAAATAACAATAATTTTCATTAATATTTATAGGCTATGCTAACCCAAAATTAACATTTAATGTATTTATTATTGTTTATATTACCCTAAATTTGTTTTATCAGATATTACAATTTTATAGCCTGAGTCTAGTACCTTATAATTGTTATTTATATAGCCATGATGAAATATTGAAACACTGTAATTGTTTAATTATTTATTAACATTTGTTTTTTATATTTCTTTATATCAATAGACAATATAATAATTTAAACAAATATATTTTTGTCAGTTATTAATAAATAAATACTTTACAATCAATGTTCCGTCCATGATTATTATTAAATTAAATTTATTTGCGCATGTAAATTTTTTGTGGACTGCTCTAACAATAGGCATAACTTATTTATATTTGTACCCTTCACCACACTGTGGTACAGAGTATTATGTCTTTGTGCACATGTTTGTAACAGGCAAAAATAATCGAGATAGACCCATGGTTCCTTTTGAGAATATACATCACTTTCTAAGTCGATTTATGCATGTCCGTCCGTCCGTCTGTCTGTCTGTTAAATTGTAAACAAAGTACAGGTCGCATTTATGATCCGAATTGGATGAAATTTGGCATATTGAAATTGGGAAAAATCGGTTCAGATTTGGATATAGCTCCCATATATATATATATATATATATTTAACCGATTTAATGTTAACGGTCCCTATATATCTTTCGATTTGCACGAAATTTGGTACAGCCAAATCATTTAGGTCTAGAATGATGTCTGCCAAGTTTCGTAAAAATCGGTCCAGATTTAGATATAGCTCCCATATATAGTTTCGTCCGATTTCATGTAAATGGTGCCCCAAAGTCCCTATATATCTTTCGATTTGCAAGAAATTTGGCATAACGTACTGAATTGAGCCTAGAATAATGTCTGCCAACTTTCGAGAATATCGGCCCAGATTTAGATATAGCTCCCATATATAGTTTCGTCGGATTTAAGGTAAATGGTGCACCAAAGTCCCTATATATCTTTCGATTTGCACGAAATTTGGTACAGCCTAATCACTTAGGTCTACAATGATGTCTGCCAAGTTTCGTAAAAATCGGTCCAGATTTAGATATAGCTCCCATATATAGTTTCATCCGATTTCATGTAAATGGTGCCCCAAAGTCCCTATATATCTTTCGATTTGCAAGAAATTTGGCATAACGTACTGAATTGAGCCTAGAATGATGTCTGCCAACTTTCGAGAAAATCGGTCCAGATTTAGATATAGCTCCCATATATAGTTTCGTCCGATTTCATGTAAATGGTGCACTAAAGTCTCTATATATCTTTCGATTTGCACGAAATTTTGGTACAGCCTAATCACTTAGGTCTAGAATGATGTCTGCCAAGTTTCGAGAAAGTCGGTCCAGATTTAGAAATAGCTCTTGTATATAGTTTCGTCCGATTTCATGTAAATGGTGCCCAAAGTCCCTATATATCTTTTGATTTGCACGCAATTTAGCATAACGTACTGAATTAAGCCTAGAGTGATGTCTGCCAAGTTTCGAGAAAATCGGCCCAGATTTAGATATAGCTCACATATATAGTTTCGTCCGATTTCATGCAAATGGTGCCCCAAAGTCCCTATATATCTTTCGATTTGCACGAAATTTTGGTGCAGCCTAATCACTTAGGTCTAGAATGATGTCTGCCAAGTTTCGAGAAAGTCGGTCCAGATTTAGAAATAGCTCTTGTATATAGTTTCGTCCGATTTCATGTAAATGGTGCCCAAAGTCACTATATATCTTTTGATTTGCACTAAATTTAGCATAACGTACTGAATTAAGCCTAGAGTGATGTCTGCCAAGTTTCGAGAAAATCGGCCCAGATTTAGATATAGCTCCCATATATAGTTTCGTCCGATTTCATGCAAATGGTGCCCCAAAGTCCCTATATATCTTTCGATTTGCACGAAATTTGGTACAGCCTAATCATTTAGGTCTAGAATGATGTCTGCCAAGTTTCGTGAAAATCGGTCCAGATTTAGATAGATATAGCCCTTTTTATTATAGATAGATTTTAAGTAATTGACGCACCATATATATTTTCGCCCGATTTCAAGTAAATTGGGTATCAAACTCCTCATGTTAGTCAGATTGACATCAAAGTTTGCACATCGTACAAAATTGAGCATAAAATTATATAGTTGCGTTTTCTAGAAGTACAGACATAGCCCAACGGATGACCTATTTATATTTGTTTGAAGTCGATTTACATACTTTATGGATAGATCTAGGTAGATTCACATTTAGATAAATATCACATATTTTGTTTCATCCAATTTTATGCTAATAGTCCAGTTTAATATACCCATAGTGGTGAAGGGTATCATATAGTCGGCCCCGTCCGACTTTACTACTTTCCTTACTGGTTTTATTTCAGATTCACTGTTGATCAAATCGGTTATTCAATTCGCTTCAAATTAAATATATACGTTTATAAAATATTGACCATTTGTGAGGGAGGTACCGGAAGTAGTGGGCCAAAGTGTCCCAACGTCGGACTTGATATATGCTTGGTAAAAATAATAGGTTATGCCAAGTTTGGTTCAAATCGGACATTTTATTATGCTGATAATGAAAGTTTTGATCAATAATGGGGGAGATACCAGAAGGAATGGATCTAATCCAAGCCAGGTAAAGATAGGTCTAGAATGATGTCTGCCAAGTTTCGTGAAAATCGGTCCAGATTTGGTTAAAATCGAACATTCAATTCGCCTGATATTGGATTTAAAAATATTGAAATATTGAAATTTTAACCAATGGATCCCATCTTCCTACTTGATCTAGGCTTAGTAAACATAATAGTTAGTTTGGCTCTATTCGGATAGTCCGTGCGCATGATATTATAAAATTATTATTTTTTGCATAATTTTGACCATTTTGTGGGCAGGTGCCAGAAGGAGTGGACGGAATTTCCCAATCTTCGATCTTAAACTAAGTTTGGAAGAAATATTATGATGTTGAAATTTTGGAATGAAAGCCGTGCTCCCCCCGAGAGTTATAGTGCGCACCAGCCGGCAGACTTTAAATTGTCTGAAACGATTTTAGTTCAAAGAAACATGGGGTCTAAAACAAATGATCCACATTTTCACGGTATCAAAGTGCATATACCCTCATTAGTCATAAGGCTGAGGATGTAAAAACATATTCGCAACAAATTATTAAAATACTTACAGGTCTCGCTGAATTTTAAATAATTTCCTACCGAGTTGACTGCAATTTTTATGGACACGTTTATTACAAGGATGGGATAATTAAGGATATGTTAATGAACATTGCTTCATCAGGACACTTCTGCCAGGACAACATTGATATCGTTGGAAAGGGTTTTGAGTCTACTTTCCATTTCTATAGTAAAAAAACTTCAAAGCCGTCTTATGTAATGTTCGATAGGTTTTTAACTTAATTTTTATACCCTACACAACTATGTTGTAAGGGTATTATAGCTTTGGCCAAAAGAGGTCAGAGTTTGTTTTTAATGATCGGTTAATATTTAAGGGATTAAATGGACAAAAACTTTATTTTTTCCTTTTTTTCTGGTCGACTAGAGGCCACAATTATGATACGATGAAGATCGGTCAATATTAAGCGGGTTAAATATGCCAAAACTTTTGTGTCAAAAATTACAAAGTTTGTATTCTGGGGCGTATATATTTACTCCTGAAGAAGTAGTTTGACGTATATTCAAGAAGAGTTGTTGACCTTTAAATTGATACCAATTATATTGTTGTATGTACTCGGACGTGGGAGTTATACGTAAATATTTAAATGTGTCTATGCGTTATGCTATTTTTTAGTACATACTACGGAAATATCTTTGAAATTTTACATGAAGTTCCGATTACGGTCAAGGGGGTAGCCTATAATTTTCGTTGATTTTGAGATGATATTTAGGATGTGAAATAAACCGACAACTTTTTTTTTTGTCAGATTTCCTAGTCGCTATAGAGGCCATTATAATATGCAGAACATTACATATTTTAGATGGTAAAGGGAAAGTGCCCAAATACTTAGAAAGGCTGTTTAGATGGTGATCGACGAATATTTCGAAGGTCAAATCAACCAATGTCTAATATGACAATTTTTTTTTATTTTATGGCGTAAATATTCGTTTCGGGAAAACAAGATATAAAAATTATGCCAGGGAAAGAAAGTGGAGCTGTTAACATATAATCGGTCAAGAGGGTGCAAATATTGCCTAGGCCCAGAATATAGAACCGCAGAATGTTCGATTTTCGTGTTCGTTAAGTAGGGTAACATAGAGTCGGTCCCGTTCGACGATACTGTTCCGTTCACTGGTTTATTTTCTGCACGCTAGATCTGTTTTTTTATCCCATTTCAAGATTATAGATACAATTTCCTACTGAAGACACAGTTCTTTGGCATTCCAGAGTCATGAGGGAGCCAAAAGATGTTTTGACAGAATAGTATAGCATCCATGTGTTTAAAATGTTGCGTAATTTCCGTCACAGCTAACTAGATGTAGGTGATATATGACTCCTGTTTCTAGACAATCGAAATGTATTGATATGGACAATAAATTTGCCACATATCAATCGAAATGTTCACTGAAGACCCCCGAGAAAATAATTGGTCACAGATCTTCATTACAATTTTGTTTTACGTTTTATTTTGATATTCGCAATGATTATTTTTTCGACCATCCTCCCCAGCCGCCGCCACCGCCACCACTCCAACCACCACCTCCTCCTAGACTTATAATTTTGTAAACGGTAACATGGGAACCTCCGCCATAGCCGCCCCCATAGCCTCCACCGCCACCATAGCCTCCACCGCCTCCATAGCCGCCGACACCACCCCATCCACCGCCGCCATAGCCTCCACTGTAGCCACCACCATAGCCTCCGCCGCCACCGCCATAACCTCCACCACTTCCATAGGATATAATTTTATAGGTGTCAACATGTCCGCCACCTCCGCCGTAGCCACCGCCATAGCCCCCACCGTATCCTCCACCATATCCACCTCCTCCGCCTCCACCAAACAAGAATCCTGCATGGGCCGTGGCGACTAAGCACGCCAAAGCCAAAACTTTAACGTATACCTAAAGTCCATGCAAGAAAATTTGTATTAATTTCTATTACTGTAATTCTCGATCGGGTATTCTTAACTTACTTTCATTATCGGACTTTCGAAACTAGTACCCTCATTACGAACGGTATTGCTTAAATACATGGATTTTAGAAATAAATTCAATTATTTTTTGTTTTTTTATTAACGATTTTATAATAAAAATAATAAAAAGATTTCATGTCTATCATTGTGGGGGATGGATTAAGCAGAACAAGTTCCAGGTTTGTGCTAAGCGTACTTATTTTACCGCAAAATTATAATTACAAAACAAGTCATGAGAAATTTTGAATTTTTGGTTTTTTTTTTTGACAATTTTTTTCTTGTTTATTTGTTCTTAAGAGATAGGTAGTTATAATAGAATTAAATTTCATCAAAAATAATACGTTATGCTATATTTATGAGACACATTTGCTATAGAATAATATGCAGATTGACTTATCCAAATATTCTAGCCAATTTGTTTATTTTGTTTTAACAATTTTTACCAGTCATATATTTAAATCGATTTAAACAGTGCGAAGTTTAATATGGGGTGTGAAACGTTTTTCCATAGTCCTTTTATAAATGACCCGTCTCCATTTGAGGTATTTTCCACCTAAGTGGTTGTTATTTGGTATTTCGAATACTTGGAGGATGAAAAATATACTTGCAGAAAATACACACATAACGGCACAGTGCCATTTACTGTCTTTGAAGGTTTCCACTTAATTGTCAGTATTTTGAAGTACTTTTCGTAGGCCATCACGAGCTTCATTTGTTGTTATTCACATTCGAAATAATTTGTAATTTTTAGAATTGAAATATAATTTTCCATATTTGAGTTTAGCTGCAATAATATTTTTATATCCGCCACCATAAAGTGAAGTATATATTTGTACCCTCGTGGTTAATATACACATGGTTATATACACTTTGATACGGTGAAAATGTGTCTCATCGAAATATTGGTTTTAGACCCCATGTTTCCTTGGACCAAATCCGTTTTAGAAAATTTGTAGTCGATTTACATGTAGTCGTCGGCTGGTGCGCACGATAATTCTCGAAGGGAATAATCGGTTTCATCCAAACTATGCACAACTTAATATTTCATCCAAATTTAGTTTAAGTTCGATGGGAAGATGGGGAATATCGGTCCACTCCTTCTGGTACCTCCCTCACAAAATGGTCAAAATTGTGCTAAAAATTAATGTTATAATGACATGTAAACGGACTATTCAAACTTTGTACAACCTATTATCTTTACCAAGCATAAATCAAGTACGAAGATCGTACCCATTGGTCCTCCTTCACAGAGGGTAAAACTTTTCAATATTTATAAATCCAATATCCGGCTAATGGAAAGTCCGATTTGAACCTAACTTTGCACAACATATTATATTTACCAGGCCTAGATCAGGTAGGAAGATGGGACCCATTGGTAAACTCTTTCTTGTACCGTCCCCCATAGAGGGTCAAAATGTTCAATATTTATAAAGGCAATATCAGGCTAATGGAATGTCCGATTTGAACCCAATTTTGCACAGCCTATTATTTTTAACAAGACTGGACCAAGTTTTAATATGAGACCTTATTGGACCTCTAATCGAGATAGATCCATGTTACCTTTTGAGAATATGCATAGAATCACTTTCTGAGTCCATTTATCCATGTCCGTCCATATATTTTTGTGAGCAAAATACAGGTCGCATTTATGATCCGATTTGGATGAAATTTAGCACAGGTCACTTATTTCACCCAAGGACGATCCCTATTAAAATTGGAGAAAATCGTGGCTAACTCGTCTCACACCTCCGAAGAGGTTCCTAAAGAAACATTAACTGTTTGTACCTTCATTCTATGAAATAAGAAACACTCATCTTCGTGATAATTTTGTCTTAGGTTTTATTTATAATTCCGGTGTACTTATTTTCTATCCCAACCTCCCCAGCCGCCACCGCCGCCACCTCCACTCCAACCTCCGCCGCCACCACCACTCCATCCACCGCCTCCACCTCCACCTAGAGTTATAATTTTGTAAACGGTAACATGGGAACCTCCGCCATAGCCGCCTCCACCACCACCATAGCCGCCTCCCCATCCACCACCGCCACCACCCCATCCTCCGCCGCCATAGCCCCCACCGTATCCTCCACCATATCCACCTCCTCCGCCTCCACCAAACAAGAATCCTGCCTGGGCCGTGGCGATTAAGCACGCCAAAGCCAAAACTTTAACGTATCCCTAAAATCCATACAAGAAATTTGTATTAATTTCTATTACTGTAATTCTCGATCGAATCTGCTTAACTTACTTTCATTGTTGGACTTTTGAAACTAGTACCTGCATTACCATCCGCTTTGCTTATATACTTGGTTCTTAGAAATTAATTTAATTTTATTTTATTTTCTAAACATTTTGCATTAATATTAATAATAATAAAATAATAAAAATAAATTTGTCTGGGGGATATATTAAAAAGAACAAGTTCTAGGTTTGACTTACTTCTTTCATCGAATGAAACGATTAATTACAAAAGAACACACAACAAATTTTGAACTCAATATTCTCAATGTTATGGAATTTTTGGCAAATTGCTGACCAAATATTTTCTTGTTTATTTGTTATTTAGAAAGAGAGGGGAAGTTAAAAATAGATTTAAATTTCATCAAAAATAATACGATATGCTATATTTATGAGACAAATTCGATAGAAAATAATATGCATATCTACATATCCAGAAATTCTAGCCAATTTGTTTATTTTGTTTTAACAATTTTTTTACAGTCATATATTTAAATTAATTAAAATTATACGAGGTGCCATATTAGGTTTGAAATAGAAGTTGGTTAAAGAAAAATATGTCGGCTATTTTTTGAAACAATTTTGTAATTTATCATACCGTGTTTTTGAAATTTTTTGACATTCCAAGATAGAGAAAAAACATTATTGCAGGAAATTGATTTGCAACGCTTCGAAAGATTACAATTTTTTCATTTTTGACCATACGACATTAATAAACTCAATTTAGCATTGAATGACATCACATTTTCCATTAATTAATTAGTTCATTTTATTTTCCATATTTCACTAATTTTTAACTAGTATTTGGGGTTCATTTACCAACCGCCTTTTCATTATATTCCATGCATTTTCAATTGGACACTTCCCTTATAAATGGATTTATAGAGATTGCAGGTCAGCAGAGAGACCACGTGCCTATATAAAGACCATTTGGTCTATCTAGAGGCCGACTGAAAATGGATAGAGACCATAGGTCTGCAGAAAGGCTACATGTCTGTATAGAAGCCACGGGTGTCTATAAAGACCAATTGTACTGTATTTCGAACACAGGGTCTGTGGTCAGGGGGAAGTGGTCTGTAAGAGACCTTTATAAAGGGTAGTAGCAGATGAGAATAACATTTTATGTCGACATCGGATAAGATCGAACATTTGAAATTTCGCATTGACGTTGATGTTACTCCTAGGGTGTTTGGCATTACGCCTGCGGTATATCGGTCCACATTTTGGTATAGCTCCCATATTTGGAATTTCGAGTAGTTTATGGTCATTTTTTCCTGTGCAAACTGGCATACCGAACGTTTTAAGGCAGAAGCTTATCCATAAAGGTCCATGTTTAGACATTTATTTTGAGGGTTTTTGCTGCATTTTCCAACCGAAATGGCAACAATTTAATATTTCGGGTTTTTATACCCTTCACCACACTGTGGTACAGGGTATTATGTCCTTGTGCTTATTTTTGTAACATGCAAAAATAATCGAGATAGACCCATGGTTCCTTTTGAGAATATGCATAGAATCACTTTCTGAGTCGATTTATGCATGTCCGTCTGTCCGTACGTCCGTCCGTCCATGTATTTTTGTGAACAAAGTACAGGTCGCATTTATGATCCGATTTGGATGAAATTTGGCACATTTCACTTATT